ATTTACATAAAACTCTTTCCAGAAAAATTAGCATGTTTAGTCATCCCTTTTCCTTTTAATCTGATAGACCTAAAGGAGGCATCCATATCCTTGGATAAATCATATCCCCCTCCTTGTCTCCCTTGCTCTGCGTGTTTGTGTGTGTGTACATGTGTATGTGCATGTGTGTAAATGTGTGTGTCTGTGTGTTAATGAGATGGTCTGATTAGTTATCTTCAAGGTCCCTTCCAACTCTAAAACTCTCAGATTCCATAGAATTCTATCAAAATTTTAGGGTAAGTTTTTCCTTGCCCTTACTTTCTTCTCTACATGGAAATCCTATGAATATTCTCTCCCTTTGCCTTTGCCTTCTCAGAAATACTCTATTTCAAGTCTAATGGCATTATTGCATTCAATAATGTCCTGGGGGAGGGGACAGTTGGAATCTGTAGGATAAAAAGAATCTAGCAAGAGGTGAAAGTGGGTGTGTAATTGCTGTTCTTTGTGTTGACTTGTAAAAGCCACATTTCAACCATCTCATGATAGCAGAGTTTTTTTTTCTTTTTTTTGAGACGCAAATGTACTACTCTTGTGTTTCCTTTTTTTCCAAGAAAAAATAAGAGGAATTCATTTTCATTGGGATTAACGAAATCTCTTCTTCTTTTATGCTGGCAACATGAGGTTTTAGCAGATCTCTGATTTTGTGCTGAATAAAAAAATATAGTACTACAATAGTGCACAGAGCCTGGGGGCTTGAACCCAATTTGGATTATCATGCACAGCAGCAGGCATTCTGGAACTAATGGAAGTCAATCTTTGGAGCTGGTGCTGAGGAACAGCCCCAGGGGACCAAGGCTATTGTTCCACCCTAATCTGAGACCAGTTACTGGGAGGCTGAGCTTCATAATCAGATGCTCAGAGGTGACAGGCCTGCATCAGGCTGTCAGCCAGGTGGGCATGACATGCTTCTGTGCAAAAGCCATGTGGGATGGACCTTGAGCCTGGGAACTTAGAAGAAATAGGATGTCAGTTAAGTCACTTAAAATCCCTGACTCTCTTTCTATAAACACCCATTGGTGTCCCAAGGGCCCTGCCAACGTAGGGCTGCAGATGGGAGCACAGCGACGTGCTTGGGAGTCTGTCGCCTCTCCCTGGACAATTGTGGAGCCTCTGCACATGCCCCTCCCTGGGCCTTCCCTGATCTTCTTTTCATGTTAATTTTTTTTCTAGCATCTTCAGGTGGTGACTTAAAAGTCTGCTGACATGTCCACTTGTATTTTCCCATTTACCTTGAATGTCACACTTTGTCACCTGGCCTGAAGCAGCCCTGCTGTGGCCTAAAGTCTTACAGAGTTGCTCATGCAATTAGATAGATGGGCTCCAAGGCTGCTCTCCCAGTGGGACTTCATCCTCACTTGGGACTGTTAGGCAGAGAGCTGTGCCATGCTGTGAAATTCCTTGGGTTTCTCAGCATTCCTCCACACTCTGCTAACCTCTCACCATTTTCAACTAAACAAAAGCCTTAGCACATATTTCCTTATCCAAAATGCTGGGGCTGCTCCTGGTCTCCCATTCCTCATCTCCACCCAAATCCCCCTGCTCCTTCTCTACCATTCATTTGCTATGCATCTATGTATCACAGGGCTCTTGGGAGGGCTTGTATGCATGACATGAGCTGAAATTTGTTAAGAGGAGAAGCCAGCAACTGTTGAGCACTTGCTGTATGCCAGGTGCTGTGTCAAGCACTTTGCCTGCCTTGTCTTAGAGAATCCGCAGAGCAACCTATTTCCAGCAAAGGAGCCTAAGGGAAGAGAACAGGTACAAGGCACACAAGTGCCAGAAGTAGGACTCAAATCCAGGCAATCTGATTCCAGGACCTGCATTCCTTACACTGCTTTGTGCATGCCAATGACTTCTCCAGAGACGGCTATAGGATAGCTTTTCAGCCCTGTCAATCTTAGCTGTAATTTGACATTGTCTCCTGGAGCTGCTCCCAGCAGCCTTAGGGAAGGTAACAAGGATCCAGGAGAGATGTAAGAGAAGACAAATAAAAGCACTGAAGGGACAGTCCAGGCAGATATTTTCTGACTTACCATGGTTTGATTTAAGACTTTTTCAACTTTACAATGATGTGGAAGTGATACACTTTAACTAGAAAACATACTTTAAAGTTTGAATTTTGATCTTTTGCCAGACTATTGATACGCTGCCCAATACTCTTGTGATGCTGGGCAGTGGCCATGGGCTGCAGCTTCCCATCAGCCACGTGATCATGAGGGGGAACCATGGGGACTCTGCAGTAGGCTGTGTTGTAGAAGATGATGCTTGGTAGGCCAGGTGTGTTTAATGCGTTTGAGGCTTGCAATGGCTTTATCAGGGAGTGAGTGTCAGTACTGCCATTTCCTAAGAGAAGCGCTGTCAGTGGGATGGGCCTTCAGGCTGAGATTTTAAGGGTTGAGGTTGTTAGTAAATAGAGATGAGGAAAAGGAAGTTGAGGCAGGGGATATGGTTGCTGTCATCTCTAAAAACCAGCTTTCCTCGGGTGATGGAAGAGCCTCGTGTCAGAATTATTTAGGGTAATAGTTTAAAATTGTCTGGGATGCTAGTTTTGAAAGATTCCCCTTCCAGATAACAATGAATTGAGTGGAGATAATGATTCCCATCTTGTGGGTTGTTGTGAGAACCAGAGGGTAGTGACAACGGTGGTGGTGAGGCCAGCTCTTTCCCTAGTGTCCTGGTCAGGGGCCTCTCTTTTCCTCACTTCCCATCCTTTCTTAAAACTCCTAGAGAAATCTTAGAATATGGCTTTACTCACCCACCCTGAGGCCTTGATTACTTCCTACAGAATACCAGACTCTCCTGACAGACCACCAGGAGCATCCAACTATTCTGTCAGCTCCGTTTCCTATTTCTTTTCTATATATTCACCCTATTGGGCGAAACTAATCCTAACAGTTGCCATCATAATAATACCTAATGTTTTCTTTTTCGCTCTCTGTGTGTTGCTTCCCTCACCTATGGAACATGGTTATAATGATAATTAAATGTGATAATCCATGAAAATGCTTAGAACAGCATCTGATGCAGGGTAGATAATGTTCTGTATGAGTTAAAGCTGAGTTTTAATGCCTACACCTTTTTTTTTTTTTTTTTTTTTAGGAAGATCTATCCCTGACTTCTGTCTTTATCTCTCAGTAGATGCAAGTAAATAAGTAAATAGATGTATTTTTCTCTAAACAAGTTCAGGTAGAGAAATGCTGTGCAGATGTGTTTTATTTTAAATCTGAGAGAACTAATTCGACAATTCAGTTCCTTTCATCAATATTTGTTTTGTGACATCGGTGCTCAGTGCATGTGAGTGACTGAGTACCTTGGTGAACTCAAGGTCTTCTGACAAGTCTAACAGTGCCCATCCTCTCATCGGGACTGAACCGAAGAAGTTTTACTTCTTCTGCGGCAACTTCATCTTGGTCTGCCTCTGTTTGTGCTGCTCAGTGAGTTCCACCCAATAAGGACTTAGTTGCTGCCCATGTTTCCTGGTATATTCTTCGCCCAAGCTAGACTTCCAGTTCACCAAGGGCCAAATTCTGTGTCCTGAACGGTCCTAACATTCTTCTCTTCTTTCATCCAGGTGTCCTTTATACTTCATGGTGACTCTCTGGCAGGTTCCACTGAGGACATAGTGAGGGTGACAAGTGAGGTTATTTCTGATTATGAGTGAACTTTCCCTTATCATGGAATTATTCTTTTATTGGGGAGTCTAAATAAGTTTCTGAAGTTGTTTTCTGAGACCTAGTTGTAGATCAGTGTTTGCCTCCAGGTACTCCTTTTTGTTCTTTTAGGAGAAATTAATTCTGGAAACTCATAGAAGCACCATAAATTAAATTTAGGTGGTTCCTGTAAATCAGTCTCCCACTTCTTCACGTGCATAGTTTAAATTTTTATGTGTTTCAGAAATATTGTAACAATGTTCAAATGGAAATAAATGTTGACTCTGAACAAATTGACAGCTTTCAATTTCTGTGATTTAGTTCAGTTCCTCTTAATATGCATATATGTGATTTTTGCAGAGTCATAATTGAGCTGATTATAGTAATTTAAATAAAAGTAAAGCCATTATTTATGAGCTCTTAACATTTGCTAGGAAAAAATGCTTCCCATATATTTTGACTCCTCTTATCAATTCTATCAGATAGATACATTAATATTCCCATTTTAAAGATGAGGGAACTAAGTATAGATGGTCACTGACTTATAATGATTTGATTTATGATTTTTTGAGCTTTAGGGTATTATAAAGAATACCTATGCAACCATTTACTTTTTGTACAATGTTCAATAAGTTGCATGAAATACTCAGTACTTTTTTTATAAAATAGGGTTTGGATAATTCTACCCAATTGTGAGCTAATGTAAGTGTTCTGTGCCCAGGTGAGACAGGCAAGGCTACATCATCATGTTTGGTAGGTTAGGTGTGTGTTAAATGCATTTAGGACTTAATGATCAATTTTCAATTCGTGATGGGTTTTAAAAGATGTAACCCATGATAGGCTGGGGAGCATCTGTATTATAGAGGTTGACTCATTCCAAGTCACACATGTAAGCCGTATTTGTGCCCTTCAGCTTCACGGTATTAAACAAGGTAGGCAAGGCTGGAGAGCAGCAGTCAAATGATTGATGGCTGAAGCAGCTCGTCCTGGGACACTTTCCTCCACTCCAGCCACCTGTTGGCCTCACTTCCTGGCTGCTGAGGATGAGGATGGAGCCTCCTGACCCCATGCAGTCCAGAACAGACCATGCTGGTACGTAGCCCTGGAGCTCTTGAGTAGCCCAAATTAGGAAAAGCAGATCATGCAGGTCAGATCATTATCAGTACAGATTTACAGGCATTTGTTCCAATGTTTGCAAGATACTGGTGTCAGCTTGACCTACCGGACTCTAGCTAGGTGATGGACAGCTTTGGGCCTGTGGGAGGCATGCATCCAGCAAGCACAGCACCATGAGCCCGTCCTTGCTCTGGTCATCCAAACACAAACAATCACTGTGTGCAGATGGGGTTTCAGGCCACATTGCCAAGTGTTGGGAAATGAAAACACACAGAGGCCAAGGGAGCTGAGGTCTCAGGGCCAACCTGAGTTCCCAGAAGCAGAGCAAGACGGGAGCTCCGCGGCCAGGCAGATGTGAGCCAGCAGCTGGTAACCCTGCTCAGTGGCTCTTTCGGGCTAGTGTTGGGCACTTGCTAATGCTTCAGGAAGTGTTGGTTGGATGGATGGATGGATGGATGAGCAGATGCAACTGCTAATATCCAGCAGCTATGCTCTCTCCTGCTGGATGAGGACGGAAATAGAACATTCCAGTGTCTTTTGTGTCAGATCATAGATAGAAAGCTGAGCGTGTCCAAACAAGTGCTAGAGAAAGCGTGTGTGAATGTGACTGGGTGTATATGTGTGATCACGTGAGAGTGTGCATGTATCTGTGTATGTGTGAGTGTGAGTTTGAGTGGATGGAGGGAATGAATGGGGAGGAGATGAAGGCGCTCATTGCAGTGCTGCTAGAAGCCAAAGAATGACTTACGTTTCTCACTGAATACTCTCAACAGTGCTGGGTGGTAGATATTATAAGTTGCATTTATTGATGAGGAAGTAAGATTCAAAGAGATTAAGTGTAGTGCTTAATGTCATTCTGGTGGGTGGGAGAGCTGATCTTTGACTTTTGGTCACCAAAGTGGGTGATCTTCTCCCTGTACCATGCTGACCAGCTCATTAAGACACTGCCAGGGTTCTGGTGTGTTTCAGGATAAAGAGACAGGGAGGTAACATCGGAGGAAGGAGTTGAACCATATTGTTCATTAGAAGTCCTGGAGGAGGAAGGTTCTTAGGGTCTCAGGGTGGGTGGTGGAGGGAAAGCTGAAACCTTTGGCGACTGAACAGGTGGGAGCATTCCCAGGAGGAAAGAGATGAGGGAGAGGGATGGTCTTCCTACCTGTATGGAAATATTTTAGTGGATAGAAATTTCTATTAGTGTGCAGGATTATTTGCCTGAGGAATAGATTTTAGAACTACTGGCCAGAAGGACATCTTTATAGAAAGCTTCCTGAGGTTACCCCCCCCCTCCCATTCCCTCGCCTCCTTCCAGTAAGACTCAGAATGGAAGGTCCCCAACCCGGGGGCAAGGATACAGGCCAAGGAAGTGAAAAGAAGCACTTTACCCTTCTACTTATAAAATCCCAGTATCCATGACAACTGGATGGAGTGAAGAAAATGGCTGTCCCTCCCCTCTTCATTGTGTAACTTTCAGTTGCTGCAGCAACTGAGTACACTGGGCCCAGCCAGATTCTCTGGGTGCTTTCTTCTTTCTCAGTCCCCCTTTATTGCGGGGCCCTCCTCGGTGCCAACACTGCTTTGTCTCTCGCTGGAGATGTCTGTGAGAACCAGGATGGGCAAAGTGTCAGGCTCTTGGTGCTATTGAAAATCCTTTGAGATGGGAGAAATTGCTGGAACAAAGGGACAGGGGAACAAAAAGCTTGAACAGCTTCGCCTCCGACTCTGAGGGTCTTTATCATCTTAAACCTTGGGATTTGAGAGTGTCTGACTTTGCCTTTCCCAGGGATGGTTTGGCAAGGATACAGACAGATCTGGTCCAGGAAACTGGTTGAAAGAACTTTCCAGGGAGATGAAGCCTGGTTAAATTAGGTTGGAGTTCCTCCCTCCCTCCTTCCCTCCCTCCCTTCCTTCCTTCCTTCCTCCCTCCTCCACTTTCCTCTTCCTCCTCTTCCCTCCCTCCCTCTCTCCTTTCTTTCATTCCTGCCTCTCTTGTACATGTTTCTGGTTAATATCTTTTCACTTGAAAAAATTCTGAACAATGAGATAGGAGTCTCTAAACCTTTGAGCCATCAATTCCTTTCATAGTTTGTGTTAAGGAAATAATCAGATATTTACACAAATTATTGATCTCTCTGTGGATGCCTCACAGTGTTGTGAAACAACGGAAAAGGCCTACCCAGCTGTGAGATGGGTCCAATACGTTTTGCCTTATTTATACTTTGGCGAAGTCATCATTTTTCATCTACTCATCTTACAGCTGTAAATTGGCCCTGTGCTGGCTTCCTGGCACGGTTCCTGCCCTAGGAGAGCTGAGAGTTATGGTTACACGATGCAGAAATAAATGCAGATCACAATTCCCGGCAATTGCCATGAGGAAAAATGATTGAACAGGAAGAGTAGGCATATCGGTGGCACTTAACCTCATCTTGGGATGGGGGAAGAGTCTCTAAAAAAGCCCAGTGACCTCAAGCTGTGATTGAAGGATGAGCCAGACATGTAACACATGGATGGAGGGGGAAAAGAGAAGACCAGGCACAGGAGCTGCCTTGCCCATTGTGAGGGCCCAGCTGTCACGGGGAGGGCCCTGGCTTGTCTAGGAAAAAGAGTGGGTAGGAGCAGCTGAAGCTCAGGGATGGAGAGCAAGGCAGGGCTGGGGCCTGGGGCCCTCTGGGTTATGTCAAGAGAATAGTCTTCATTCTAGGAGCAATGGGCAGCTTCAGTGTGGTCAGGGGCTGAACATGGGGGTTAAGGATCTTGAGTATTGGGTGACAAGGTCAGATTTACAGAAAAGTTCTGTGAGTTTAATGTGGACAAATGTTTGCAGGGGGCAGGGGTTGTGGGGAGACCAGTTAAATGTCATTGCCAAAGTTCAGGAGAGACAAAGGCTTCTGGACCCGATGGTGGAGGAAGACACGGCAAGAACGGGTGGATTGGAGAAGCACTTAGGAGGTAAAGCTGAGCAGATGTGGTGGTGTATGGGGTATTGTAGGGAGTAGGCATTAGAGGGAAGGGAGGGTCAAGGATCAGCTATGGTTAACTCACCCACCACTTCTCCATGTTTAAGTGGCACTGTGTGATAGCACTGGGCTAAACGCTGGGGCTAGAAATAAGAGCAAGGCATACATGACTCCTGCCCTCAAGGAGCTCAGACTCGAATGGGGATAGCCCTCAAACACATAAACAAGAATAAATGGCAGGTATAACCCATGCTACAAGAGGTAACTTGAGAGCTTACTATAGTAGAATTTGATCCTATAAACACTTAAGAAAGGGTTCCTTGAGGAAGAGATGCTTAAAAAGAGATAACTAGTAGAGAGAGAGAGAGAAAGAGAGAGAGAGAGAGAGAGAGAGAGAAAGGTTCATGCAAAGGTCCTGTGGTGATTCTGAGCAAAAAGAGTATAAGGAGAATAGAAGGCTGGATAGGACAGCTGGACTGCAGGGAACAGGAAGCTGCACAGTGGGAGATGAATCTGGAGGAGTGAGCATCTGGCAAGGCTTGCAGGATCAGGAAAGTCAGTTTGAAAAACTTTATGTATATTCTAGAGTAATGGATGGGAAACACTGGAAGACTTTGAGCCAGGGCTTGGGCTGTAGTTTGGAGTATGGGGAGGAGGAGAGCAGAGAGGATGAGGGTAGATCAGTTAGGAGGAGACTCTTCTCAAGAAACCCAGCTGAAAGGTGAGGGAAATGGTGGTGATGGAGACAAACATAAGACTGTGTGAGGTTGAGAGATATCTAAAAGGAAAATATTTTTTTTTCATTTTTTCAATACTGGAGATTAAAACCAAGGCCTTGCACATGGTAGGCAAGTGCTCTACCACTGAGCTACATCCCCAGTATTTAAAAACAACGTTTTTTTTTTTTTTTGAGATAACGTCTCATTAAGTTGCCTACGGGCCTCCTGAGTTGCTGGGGTTACAGGAATGCACCATTGAGCTCCACTCTTAAGGGAAATTTGAATGCCTTCATGACCAGCTGGATGCAGAGTGGGGGAGAGGGAAGTGTGCAGAATGGCTTTAGGTCTCTTGCTTCTGTGAGTGCTGACAGAGAACACAGAATGAGCAACTGGCTTGGAGAGAAAGTCATGGATTTGTTTGGAAATGGAGACTTTGAGGTGCATTGGAACCATTCAGGAGGGGAGAGGCTGGGAAGCTGCTAGATACTCCCATGCAGTGCTGTGGGGTCTTGGCCAGGTGAGGACCCAAGCAGATTTGGTAGGGCCCCACTGAACTCGCAGAGAACTGCCTACCATAGCAAGGAAAGCCAGAGGGTGAGTGTACAGTGGCTGCGAGGTTTGTAGACTTAGTAGCAGAAGCATGAGGGAGTTGTCACTTTCTGATGGCTTCTCATTTTTCTGAGAATGAAGAGGGTAGGTCTCCTGCTTTGAGTGAAAGGTGAGAAGGTAGAGTGTGAGGCCCCTGGGGGGCTGGCAGGGAAGGTTCAAAAATGATATAGGAGAAGACGGAAGTGAAAAAAGTTTGCAATATGTGAAGAACAGAAAGCAACAAAGCAGAATGTCGACATGACTTCAATTTTGTACAGAAAAAGTAAAATGGTAACACACACATATGGATGTATATATATACAGTATGCACACATGCTCATATGCACACTTCCTGATCAGTTGTACTCTTAGCAATTTAAAACACTTTGTGCTTTTCTGTATTTTCCAGATTTACTAAAATGAAACACGTATTGCTTCTGCAATCAGAAAAAAATAGCTTATTTTTAAAAAGTTATATAACTTTACCTTTATTCTTTTTTTCTCTTTTTTTCTTGAGGGGATACTTATACATTATCATATATTGAAAAATTATTATTAAGCTGTTTCTGGTTTAAAACAACAAAATAACCAAGTATTTGTTAACCAGAAATGTCCTTAAAATAGCAGAAGGCATGCTAATTTTAAGGTGACAAACTCAATCCCTGAAGGCAAAGCTTACTCTCTGTAGGTCTTACCCTGGGGAATCTTTGCTCCCTGGGGAAAACCCAACCGTGGCTGCAGAGTCAGACTGGTGGCCCTGTGCCTACCAGAGAGCTCAATTCTAAGCACACTGGTGGTGTCTTTGAGAACTCTGAAGATTTTGATTAGTAAGATCATTCTTGTCCAAGCTTAAACATGCTATTTTTATTATTTTCAGGTTCTATTTATTATTTTCAACAAGAGTAAGTTAATAAATGTTGTCATTAAATCCTTTTTGTTTTGATAACTTCATACCTTTTACAATGACAAAACTCATAGATGAGAAGAAACTTCTCTGCTGGGGCTTGGCATATTGGTTGTAAAAGGGTAATGCTGGCTACAGTAACAAAGGACCCAACATATTGTAGTGGCTCAACATGTGAAGAACCATAGA